ATCCTGAGTGGTTTTCTTGTTTTCCTAGAACGCCCTCTCTTTCTCCTTCTCCTCCTCCTTCCTCCTCCTCTACCATACCTGCCATCTCATACCATACCTACCATTCCATACCATACCATACAATACCATAGCACACCATACAATACCATATAATACCATATCATACCATACCATACCAATACCATACCTACCATACGACACCTACCATACCACACCTACCATACCAGACCTACAATACCTACCATACCAACCTACCATACCATACCATACCTACCATAGCATGCCCTACTATACCATACCTACCATGCCATTCCATACCATACCTACCATACCATATCACACCTACCATACCAAAGCTACCATACCATATCTACCATTCCAGGGAGGCCACGCCAGAGAGGCCACTCCCACTCCCACTCCTCCAGGGATGCCCCGCCTGAGCGAGGAGGGTATTCGCAAATAGTGTTATTCCCCACATGCTTCGTGGGGTTCTGGTTTTCTTCCCACCCGCGCCGCACCCGCGTCTCACCCACACCCGCCCTCCTCTCTCTTTCTTCCTCCCCTCACTCACACGCACACACACACTTCACTCTTCCCCCCTCGTCACAGCACTGCTCAGCTTAGCTCAACTCAGCTCAGCACAGCACAGCACAGCTCATCTCAGCTCAGCACAGCACAGCTCGGCTCAGCTCAGCACAGCTCAGCACAGCCCAGCACGGCTCAGCTCAGCACAGCACAGCACAGCTCGTGGCACGTTCTCGACACCACAGGGGTTGGTCTCTCAGCTCGGCCGTTATCCACGACACTGGCGCAAAGCCTAGCAGGCGTGGCACTCTCTCGACACCAAAGGGGGTGGGCAGGGGGTGGTCTCTCAGCTCGGCCGCTATCCACGACACTGGCGCAAAGCCTAGCAGGCGTGGCACTTTCTCGACACCACAGGGGGTGCGCAGGGGGTGGTCTCTCAGCTCGGCCCTATCCACGACACTGGCGCAAAGGCTAGCAGGCGTGGCACTTTCTCGACACCACAGGGGGTGCGCAGGGGGTGGTCTCTCAGCTCGGCCGCTATCCACGACACTGGCGCAAAGGCTAGCAGGCGTGGCACTTTCGCGACACCACAGGGGGTGCGCAGGGGGTGGTCTCTCAGCTCGGCCGCTATCCACGACACTGGCGCAAAGCCTAGCAGGCGTGGCACTTTCTCGACACCAAAGGGGGTGGGCAGGGGGTGGTCTCTCAGCTCGGCCGCTATCCACGACACTGGCGCAAAGCCTAGCAGGCGTGGCACTTTCTCGACACCACAGGGGGTGCGCAGGGGGTGGTCTCTCAGCTCGGCCGCTATCCACGACACTGGCGCAAAGCCTAGCAGGCGTGGCACTTTCTCGACACCACAGGGGGTGCGCAGGGGGTGGTCTCTCAGCTCGGCCGCTATCCACGACACTGTCGCAAAGCCTAGTAGGCGTGGCACTTTCTCGACACCACAGGGGGTGCGCTCTCAGCTCGGCCGCTATCCACGACACTGTCGCAAAGCCTAGCAGGCGTGGCACTTCTCGACACCACAGGGGGTGCGCAGGGGGTGGTCTCTCAGCTCGGCCGCTATCCACGACACTGGCGCAAAGCAGAGACAGGCGGGGTGGCACTGGTTCTCGACACCAAAGGGGGTGGCAGGGGGTGGTCTCTCAGCTCGGCCGCTATCCACGACACTGGCGCAAAGCCTAGCAGGCGTGGCACTTTCTCGACACCACAGGGGGTGCGCAGGGGGTGGTCTCTCAGCTCGGTCGCTATCCACGACACTGTCGCAAAGCCTAGCAGGCGTGGCACTTTCTCGACACCACAGGGGGTGGGCAGGGGGTGGTCTCTCAGCTCGGCCGCTATCCACGACACTGGCGCAAAGCCTAGCAGGCGTGGCACTTTCTCGACACCACAGGGGGTGCGCAGGGGGTGGTCTCTCAGCTCGGCCGCTATCCACGACACTGGCGCAAAGCCTAGCAGGCGTGGCACTTTCTCGACACCACACGGGGTGCGCAGGGGGTGGTCTCTCAGCTCGGCCGCTATCCACGACACTGGCGCAAAGCCTAGCAGGCGTGGCACTTTCTCGACACCACAGGGGGTGCGCAGGGGGTGGTCTCTCAGCTCGGCCGCTATCCACGACACTGGCGCAAAGCCTAGCAAGCGTGGCACTTTCTCGACACCACAGGGGGTGCGCAGGGGGTGGTCTCTCAGCTCGGCCGCTATCCACGACACTGTCGCAAAACCTAGCAGGCGTGGCACTTTCTCGACACCACAGGGGGTGCGCAGGGGTTGGTCTCTCAGCTCGGCCGCCATCCACGACACTGGCGCAAAGCCTAGCAGGCGTGGCACTTTCTCGACACCAAAGGGGGTGGGCAGGGGGTGGTCTCTCAGCTCGGCCGCTATCCACGACACTGGCGCAAAGCTTTGCAGCCGTAGCACTTTCTCGACACCACAGGGGGTCTCTGAGCGCGGCCGCCACCCACGACACTGTCGC